ACAAGAACTCATAATCTTCACGTACAATATAGGAAACATAAAGAACAATTTCCAGGTGGTAAAGTTAACATTCATGTGTATAACAGAATAGAGTTGCAACATTTCTTTTTCAGGGGCTTTTTCATCAGAGGCTGATTGTCAATGTAAGATGATTAAACACTTCTATCCTTAGAAATTGCTGAGTGAACTTGCAGGAGCCTTTCAGTCATATGAATACTAGTAAAATAAAAGTAGTAACAGGGTTTGTGAGCAACATGTCAATTTAAACAGGTTTACCATAAAGACAGAGGAGTTTTCATTGATATTGTCATATAACCACCTGAATTTACATTTATTTTTTTCTTTCCAACAAAATACGTATTGAGGGCATGTTGTTTAAAGCAAAGTCCCTGTCCTTAAGGAGTCTGCAAAAAGGGAGTATAATGTAAATGATTATAGCAGTATATGACTGTCAATGAGGCTGATCAGGTATGGTTCGTTTATAAGCTGAAGCTGGAAAGCCCAACTCAAGCCAACATAAGGAAAAACTCAGAATAGAGTATTGAGAAACAGCAAGTATCTGGAACAAGACAGGGATGCCCTCTCTCTCCACTTCTGTTCAACATAGTTCTCGAAACACTGGCCAGAGCAATTAGACAGACGAAAGAAATTAAAGGCATAAAAATAGGAAAAGAAGAACTTAAATTATCACTATTTGCAGATGATATGATTCTATACCTAGCAGACCCAAAAGGCTCTACAAAGAAACTATTAGAGCTAATAAATGAATTCAGCAAAGTGGCAGGATATAAAATCAACACGCATAAATCAAAGGCATTCCTGTATATCAGCGACAAATCCTCTGAAATGGAAATGAGGACAACCACTCCATTCAAAATATCTTCAAAAAAAATAAAATACTTGGGAATCAACCTAACAAAAGAGGTGAAAGACTTATACAATGAAAACTACAGAACCCTAAAGAGAGAAATAGAAGAAGATCTTAGAATATGGAAAAATATACCCTGTTCATGGATAGGCAGAACTAACATCATCAAAATGGCGATATTACCAAAAGTTCTCTATAGGTTTAATGCAATGCCAATCAAAATCCCAACGGCATTTCTTGTAGAAATAGAGAAAGCAATCATGAAATTCATATGGAAAAATAAAAGACCCAGAATAGCAAAAACAATGCTAAGCAGGAAGTGTGAATCAGGCGGTATAGCGATACCAGACTTCAAACTAGACTACAGAGCAATAGTAACAAAAACAGCATGGTACTGGTACCAAAACAGGCGGGTGGACCAATGGTACAGAATAGAGGACACAGAAACCAATCCACAAAACTACAACTATCTTATATTTGATAAAGGGGCTAAAAGCATGCAATGGAGGAAGGATAGCATCTTCAACAAATGGTGCTGGGAAAACTGGAAATCCATATGCAACAAAATGAAACTGAATCCCTTTCTCTAGCCATGCACAAAAGTGAATTCAGAATGGATCAAGGAGCTTGATATCAAATCAGAGACACGCCGTCTGATAGAAGAAAAAGTTGGCTATGATCTACATTCGGTGGGGTCGGGCTCCAAATTCCTCAATAGGACACCCATAGCACAAAAGTTAATAACTAGAATCAACAAATGGCCTTACTCAAACTAAAAAGTTTTTTCTCAGCAAAAGAAACAATAAGAGAGGTAAATAGGGAGCCTACACCCTGGGAACAAATCTTTACTCCTCACACTTCAGATAGAGCCCTAATATCCAGAGTATACAAAGAACTCAAAAAATTAGACAGTAAGAGAACAAACAACCCAATCAACAAATGGGCCAAGGACCTGAACAGTCACTTCTCAGAGGAGGACATACAGTCAATCAACAAGTACATGAAAAAATGCTCACCATCTCTAGCTGTCAGAGAAATGCAAATCAAAACCACCCTAAGATACCATCTCACTCCAGTTAGATTGGCAGCCATTATGAAGTCAAACAACAACAAGTGCTGGCGAGGATGTGGGGAAAAGGGTACACTTGTACATTGCTGGTGGGACTGCAGATTGGTGCAGCCAATTTGGAAAGCAGTATGGAGATTTCTTGGAAAGCTGGGAATGGAGCCACCATTTGACCCAGCTATTCCCCTTCTTGGTCTATTCCCTAAAGACCTAAAAAGAGCATGCTACAGGGACACTGCTACATCGATGTTCATAGCAGCACAATTCATAATAGCAAGACTGTGGAACCAACCTAGATGCCCTTCAATAGACGAATGGATAAAAAAAATGTGGCATTTATACACAATGGAGTATTACTCTGCATTAAAAAATGACAAAATCATAGAATTTGCAGGGAAATGGATGGCATTAGAGCAGATTATGCTAAGTGAAGCTAGCCAATCCCTAAAAAACAAATGCCAAATGTCTTCTTTGATATAAGGAGAGTAACTAAGATCAGAGTAGGGACGAAGAGCAGGAGAAGAAGATTAACATTTAACAGAGATGAGAGGTGGGAGGGAAAGGGAGAGAGAAGGGAAATTGCATGGAAATGGAAGGAGACCCTCAGGGTTATACAGTGGAGGGGGTAGAGAGAGAGGAGGGGAGGGGAGGGGAGAGGTGGGGAGGGGGGAGGGTGGAGGATGGGAAAGGCAGCGGAGCACAACAGACACTAGTATGGCAATATGTAAATCAATGGATGTGTAACTGATGTGATTCTGCAATCTGTGTATGGGGTGAAGGTGGGAGTTCATAACCCACTTGAATCAAAGTGTGGAATATGATATGTCAAGAAATTTGTAATGTTTTGAACAACCAACAATAAAAAATTAAAAATAAATAAATAAATAAATAAATAATTAAAAAAAAAAAGAGAAACAGCAAGTAATGAGAAACAGGGTGACTCTCTCTATTTCAGTACAGCTAGCTTCTTTTGGGTTGGCTACATTTTAAAATAATTCCTTCCTTACAGAACAAGGGAACTTATGAACTGATTCCTTTTATGTAAAACAGAAGAGAAATGAAAGCCTCAAAATGTAGTATCATCACCCCTGTACCCATTTATGAACTAATTGCAGAGGCAAGTGGAATGGAGAACACTGATTGGCTCACTTTTACCTGAGGGACAGAGAGGTGGGATTCCCTAAAGCAGAGGTGGTGAGGAGGGATGCTAGTCTGCTAAAATAGCAAATGTCCACAACCCCAAAGCATATAGGCTTGATAATATATTCAATTCAGTTAAAGTCTTTGAGAACATTCTGGAGAAGATGCATTGGTATTTTTCAAAAATTAAAATAAAACATTGACAAAAAGTTATAATCTAGAAAGAGGGATAGGAAGATATAGAGATATAACACAAAGAAAAACTCCAGTATACTTTGGGAGCTATTGGAATAGTTTATTTTCCACTGCAGGAAGAATCAGGAAAGACCCCAGGAAGAGGTAAACTTTGAAATTGATCTCAAAGGAAGGGTGGGACCTCTCTTACTTGCTGTGGTACAGTCTCATCATAACATAAAGAAATATAGTGTCTTCTCATTCTGGAGATGAACTTTAAAATGGTTATTTTGTCTTGTTCTAAAAAATAGCTCTTCAAGAAGCTACAAACTTCTCCAGGGGTTACTGGCAGAAAGAATGTGATTAGTATTAATAATAGTATTTTCCTTAAACTCAGGGCCTAGCACAAAGGGTACTCAAAATATCTTGGTTGAATGAATGGATGGATGGATATCTGAATGAACAAATACTACGGCAACATGTTAATGGGTAATAGATGAGATTCCTGTGGTCATGTAATGTCAATTTAAAAGAAATCACTAACTGTTGCCTATGACAAGTTGTTTCTCTACGGATTCATATGGGGCTACCTTGCTACCTCAGGTAGCCCTCTGAGGCTCATCAGTAGCATCATTTACACAGCTCACATTGTGTGTAATGAAATCCAACCTGGCATCCACCACACCCTCAGTCTTTCAGTGTAAAACAAAGTGCAGCTTCCCCCACAGAGCATCCTGATTAAACAAATTAACTATGGCGCTGCCTGCAAATATACACACTAGAGTGCAGGAAATGAACAGATACAATGGCCAAGTCTGTATTTAATTTTAATTAAATTTCATTCTGTAGCTCAATTAATCCACATCTCCAAATGTCAGCAGGACTTAGGCAAATGGAATGACATCTGCTGCACTGCACAAGACTATAAAACCTTCACTGCATGCTAGGTCTCTGGAAGCACACCAGGAAAAATGAAATATCTTTATTAAGTGTGTAGTATTGTATAGAAGTCTAACTCAGAGCATAATGAAAGAACATAAACTAGGAAAGAAAATTGGACTAAGAATGTGAGTGGTTATGGGCATGGCAAATATTGCTCAATATCCTGCCCTGTGTTATTTATTGTTTTAAAGTTGCATTTGACTTTATAGCTGTTTCCTTTAATATTTACCTGGTGGGCTTCCCAATTACCCAGGTTGATATTCTTTTTTTTTTTTTTTTTAACTTTGCAGACTTCTTCTCTAAGAAAGGAACATTGGTAAAATCAGGGTGATAGTTCCACAGGAATAAGGAAAAGACTACATTAGCCATGCAAAGCCATTTGTTACAAGAAGCCAGAGGTGTTGCACAGAACATGAAAACTGACGTTAGATGAAGATTTTTGTCCTGCCACTTATAATAATATCAGATTAAGAGTTTTTTTTTTAAAGCCAGGCTTTATTAATTGGTGAGACTATTTCCACTTGACAATGAGTAGTTTGGGGACATTTCTGTGTAGTATTTTTAGAAAATATCAATGTGATCATTGTTGGTAGGTGATTAGAAATAGATAAATCTTATTAAAATAGATTTGTTTAGCATTAAGTGCAAGATACTGTGCTAGATCTGGAAACACAATATTGAATAATGTATGTTCTCTTTTCTGGAGAAGGGAAAAGAACAAGTGAAAAATAATCACAATAAATACAACAAATATCTATTGAGAGAGAGACAGACAGACACACACACACACACACACACACAGAGAGAGAGAGAGAGAGAGAGAGAGAGAGAGAGAGAGAGAGAGAGAGAGAGATCCAAACAATTAGGCGAGTTCTGGAGAATTGCCAAAAGCCTGGGGGTGGACACTTGTCTCTGGAGAAGTGGCCCTGAAGCATGAATAGGATTTGAGCAGATAAGTAGAAGGGGACACAAAAATTAAAAAATTAGTGAACCACATGCCAAAAGATGGGACCATAAATTTCATTTTATGGTATGAGCAAAGTTCAAAGTCTACAAAGCAGGTAAGGTAGAAGATGAAGAACAAAAAGTAGCCTGAATTCAGACTGGCTGACGTCATGCATCTGTAAAGAACTCAGGCCCAGCACAGTGGTGCACACCTGTAATTCCATAAGCTCAGGAGGCTGAGGCAGGAGGATTTTGAGTTCAAAGCCAGCCTTAGCAATTTGTGGAGGCCCTAAGCAACTCAGTGAAGACCCTGTCTGTAAATAAAATACAAAAAAGGGCTGGGGATGTGACTCAGTGGTTAAGTGCCCCTGAGTTCAATCCCCCGTACAAACAAACAAAACAAAACAAAACAAACAAACAACCTCCCCTGAAAACAAACAAACAATGAAACAAAACAAAAAACTCAGGATTTGATCCTGTACACAGTGGAGTCTCTGAGGGCTTTGGGCAAGGAACACATTATCAGATGTGTGGAATAGGGAGTGGAGGGCAAACTACCCAAATCACAGAGAAAAATGTGCAGGACTCCTTGGCCTCTACAAAGTCTATACACATGCAGAGGATTGTGCAAAGGAGGGGATTTAGTTATTGCTGACTGTGTGAGAAATGGCGCAAATAGGGATGAAGACTGGTGTTGGCTCACACAGATGTGAGAAAGGTCTTTTAGATTATTATCATGTCAGGTAGGTGGATTGTTAGTGTTATGAAAAATAAAAAGAGAGGGATAGAAAAGGGTCTACTCTCAAAGGGCCTTAATAGTTAGGTATTGGTTATTCTCTGCAAAGTTAGAAAATTCAGGCTTTTCCTTACTCCAGCTTTCCACAGATGGGAATTCTTTTCCTAAGCATACTCCTGGCCTCTCTCTTCCTCTTTACTCTCTCTGTTCAGGGGCAGGAGAAATGGTTTAACCATTTAAATGGTTTGGTATCTAAGTAGATACCAAAATGGTTTGGTATCAAGTAGGCCACGCCCAGTCTCACCCTTCTTCTTCCTGTGATCTACCTGACTAGGTGAATAAGTGTCTAATTGTGGAGTTTGAAAACCTCCATCCTTCATCCTGATTTCCCATAGAACAAAAGTGAGATTTTAAGCCTTACTTGATCCTCGATTTTCCCAATTGTTCCCAGCCCAAGTGGGGAGGAAAGGCTCTGTTAGTTGTGACCCGTCAGAGAAACTAGCAAGCAGGAGGTGTATTTTTGACTCTCATTCTGGTATTTGGGTCCATTCTAGACTCAACAAGAATACTGTTGTAAAAAACTCAACAAAGAAGACAGCTGGGATATCAACCAGAAAGGGCAAACACTAGCAGCGTTTGTTTTTTCAAAAAAGAAAACATTAGCTGGGCATGGTGGCCCATGCCTGTAATCCCAGTAACTTGGGAGACTGAGGCAGGAGGATCACAAGTTCAAAGCCAGCCTCAGCAATTTAGTGAGGACCTAAGCAACTTAGTGAGACCCTGTCTCAAAAAGTAAAAAGGGCTAGGGATGTGTTCAGGGTGAAGCACACCTGGTTCAATCCCTGGTACTGAAAGAAGATGAAGAAAGAGAAAGAAAGACAGAAAACAAACTTCAAGAAAAGCAAAGTTTTCTTCATCATAATGATGCCTGTAGTTCATTAAGAAGAAGATTCCCTTTGAAATTCAGAATATCAAAATGGGTCGTGTTGGGTTTTATGGGTTGGTTTGAGAATCTCTAATTTACTATAACATTATTATACTAGTATATTTTGCTGCCTTTTTATTAAAAACAGACCTCTAAGCAATCAACCTGCAAAATAAAATTTCTCAACTTATTTTTAAGTTGGGGACTCACTGGAATGATTAAGAAGACAAATATAAGCAGAAATAGTTATCAATCTGAGAGGAAAGAAGGTGCTAAAAACAGAGTGGACAGTCATTCTTATTTAAAATATTAATTGAATGTTATAAGATTAGAAATCCTATATAAACTAATAATCTACATAAGGTTTTTTCTTCTTTCTTCTTTTGTCATTTGTAGGTATTTGTTTTGTGGGGGAATAAACCCACTGTTAACTATGTAGGCCATGGGCAGCTCCATTCATGTTCAAAGTGTTTTGTCTTACTTCATATTTCTCTCATATTTTACTTTATATATCTCATAATTTTGTCTTTATTTGCTATATCTTTTCCATATGCTAATCTAAAGTTTTAACACTTTTAATGAGGTTTTGATTTAAATTTTATGCTTACTCCCATTAGTATAATGCTTTAGGAAAGATCAAAATTATAGATGGATTGGATACTAAACTTTAATACATTAATTATTAAAATCTTACAGTTAACAGACTAAGAAATTTTGGTTCTTGAAAAATCCAAGAAAAATTTTCTAGTCCTGTTATGGTACCATGTTGAGTTTTATAATGAGCGTATTAAGATGTGGCACTGAAGTTGCATCTAATAAAAACGTATAGGGAGTAACAATGAGCTTCAAACTATCTCATGATCCTATCTTCTGAGACATTGAATTGACATGTGGTTCTTAGCATATTAATGAATTTGAAACAGGAATCAATAATGTATTACTAATTTAATCAGAGTTAAAGTTTCCTGCCAGAATCAATGATGTTATAATAGTACAAATATGCAAAAGTGAAGAACTGAAGTTATAAAAAACACTTTGAGTTGATGAGTTACAATGCTTCTAACAATCTTAATGTATAATGAGAATTAGTGTGTAAAAGCATTTCTGGTTGCAACATTTCATAATTTATCTGTATTAAGTATTCCATATAGAAATGAGTTATAAAAACTTGGAATTTAGAAATACCAACTATATTACTGAATATTTACTACAATTTTCAAGTACCCAGAAGAGATAATACTAAGTATGACATTTGTGTTGTATTATCAAGGATTTTTAAAAATAAAATTGATTGACATTAATTTGTATCATTTAGTTAAGAGTTACCTTGAAGTCAGCTATCCCGAATTTAGAGCTCCATGGACATTTCTTGTAGCCCTATGGGTCTAGAAAATTAGGCACCACCTTGTTCTTATGATGATTTATTGTTGCTGGAAATAAATTCCATCCTGAACAATCACTACACTTCTTAAGTCAGATTTTGATAGAAAATAAAGTTGACATGTACTTTTTTAAAATATGAAAGTTATATATCCATAACTAAATGGCAATTCTACTATGTCTTCAATTATCTGTACACTTTCCTGAGTTTTTAATTTTGTTCCCGCATATGTGGGCCTCTAAATTGTAAGTTGATAGATAAATTATGGATTTCCCCATCCATTACCTTGAGTTTTCTTTAAGATAGGAACTAAATGGTCATATAATGTAAATTATCCATTTTAATATAGTTGCCTTTTTTTATTCAAATAAAATATAAAATCCTCCCTGTCGGAATTTTACATGTGAGCCTATGCTACTTACAGGGTTGGTTTAGTAAAGGACCTATATTTAAGTACTTTTAAAAAAAGCATGAATTGGTAACACGTTATAAGAAAAATATGCCAAATTCTTTAGACACACAAATTCTGAAGTAAGTCCCATTTACACATTATATGGTGTATAAAAACTAAGTAAGCTGCATAGGAGCTATTGAGAAGCTAATATGAACTACAATAAACAAATCAAATAAAATAAGATCAAGAAAGTTTTGTAAGAAAAAGCAAATTTAAAGAGGTTTGGAAGTTTAGTTCATGGTCTTAATTCTGCCTACTACTGGAGATGTGCCCCACTACTGGAGTGTTTTGCCCCACCTTCAGCCCAGAGCCAACCATGAAATGTACCTCTGAAACTGAGAGAGAAAATAAAATATTTCCCTTCTAAGTTGTTCTTGTCAGGTATTTTGGTAATAATGATGAAGTGTTGACTAACACACCTCCAAAGGATAATGTATGGACAATGGCACAATATGTAGAAAACCATGGAAAGAGTAGGTACAAATCACAGCCCATTTTAAATGGGTTAGATATCAGAAATTAAGGTGGACCCACTACATTATCAATTATTTCTTCTTCCTTCCAAATCTCTACCTATCCCACTGTGTTCATTCATTTTTCCTAGCTCCATCTTATATCTTCCCTTCCTTTCTTTACTTATCTTTTCTTCCCCTCATTTCTTTCCTCCTTCTTTTGCATACTGTTCCCTACTGAATGTCCATTCTTTGACAAACATCATACTAGGTATCAAGGGAAGATAATTAGGATTAGATATCTGTCTTCAAAGAGCATATCACCATCTTTATACAGGGCCGAATCATTTTCACTGCATATGATAACTATAAAGATTAGAGTGACAGGAAGCCTAAGGAAGGGCACTTAAAATCAGTTGGTTCACTGGATATGGGATTCCTAAAATATGTCTTAAAGTACGAGTAGGATTAACCAGGGAAAAAGGAATGGAAAAAAAATTCAGGCGGAAAGGACAACATGAACCAAAACCCAGGGGACAGAACTCATCAAAAGATATGTGTACAAGAAACTCAGTCTGCACAGCCACACTTGGTGGCCAGGGTAGTGACAGGATTAGTTTTATATTTGAGAAGGTTCATGCTGGCAGTAGAGTGATAGATGGATTTAAGAAGAATGAAGCTGAACTTCAGGAAACCAGTTGGGGGCATTTTTCCACTGGATTCTAGGTGAGGTGTGATTAATGCCTGGTGATTATAAAATAGAGAACATTAAACAACTACCTGGTAAATCCAGAATCAAACCCCAGGTTTCTCTACTCTAAGTCCAGAACTCTGTCCACTGTACCAGAAATACAGTATATTATTCTATGGTAAAAGGAAACATTTTTGTTGTGACCTCTTTAAACTACAAATAGCCAGAAGGATAAATCTTTAGGGAAGACTGAGTTACTGAGCTCTGGGAGCCCAGCTCCAATTATTTTACATGGATCAATTCAATGTTCATTTATCATGAGTATCTGACATGACACAGTCATTTTTTATATAGAGAGATGTGCCAATTGGGGCTGGGGGCGTGTTCCTTAACCAGTCTACTTGGTGTTACATTCATTGCTATAGGATATTTGGAATCCACGGTGTAGGGTGATCATACCCCTCCTGGTATAATCTTTTGCTGTGTTATATCTCAGTGCTACTACTGCTGATGCTCAAATAGCTGCTCTGTCACATCCCCCTCTCCTGGTGCCACTGTAACATTTTAGGTAATGAGGTAAGGGGCACACTTGAGTTCTTTATGTGCCAAGATGAGAAAAATTAATTTTAAATGCTAAAAAGATGAGACTGCTAGTGCAGACGGTCACTAAACACCACCAGCTGCTCCATAGATTTTGAGTATGGAAAAAGAAGCCCAGTTCAAAATCAACAACATAACTCCAGAACATGAAAAACCAAACTGGGTCAGTGTTTTAAGCAGGAAGATAATGTCCAAATCATATTAAATTGCTGGATGACTTGACAAAAGTATTGGCAATTCAGTTTGTGTCCACACTATGCTTCTAAATTTCTTCATGTAGAGAGAAATTAAACGTAAATAACAAAATGCTTGCTTTGGTAGACTTAAAAGTAGGTATGTGTGGAATTTATTTGTAAGATGGAAGTTTTAACAGTGTTTTTGGTAAAGACATGGGAGACTGCTATTTTAATCACAAACTACCTTCCTGAAATCAAATATAAAATCAAGTAATTTTACACACACACACACACACACACCATGCCCCAAAGCATTTTCTTTCATTTAAAGAATAGACATACAAATAAGAAAGTAGCATGAATGAGAAGGATAAAATAAAAAATTCCTCACATCTAATTGTTTTCTCTTCTCTTCTACAAGGATCCACCACAGTGGACCTGGGAAGCTTTTTAAACAACTGATGCCCCAAACCCTGAACCAATGAAGTGAGACCCTCTTCAGGTGAAGCATAGGTATTGGAGGCTTTTCAATTTTCCCAGGTGATTCTGGTGTGCAGGCAGGGTTGAAAGTTAAGTTTAGGGCAGGGTTTCTTAACCTCAGCACTACTCACATTTTGAGCTAGATAATTCTTTGTAGTGGGACTGCCTTGTGCACTGTAGAATGTTTGGCTGCGTCCCTGGCTTTACCCATTACACACCAGTGGCAACATCTTCTCTTTCATTTGTGTCCCCAAACATTAATAATAGGGGAAATATAGGCACCTGTCTGTGGTCTCTGTGGTTTGCTATTTTGTTCTCTTCTAAACTGCCCATCCCTTATCTTGTTCCATTTGAGTGTGTGGGGTTGGGTATTGGGAATTGAACCCAGATGGTGCTTTACCACTAAGCTCCATCCAAGCCCTTTTGTATTCTTTTATTTTGGGATAGGGTCTTACTAAGTTGCTCAGGGCCTTACTAATTTGCTGAGGCTGGTCTTGAACTTGTGATTCTTTTGTCACCACTTCCAGAGTTTCTGGTATTATAAGCATGTGCCACTATGCCTGGACTTGTTCCATTTTTTTCCCTCTACTCCTGTTGTGGATTGGATATAAGGTGTCCCCCAAAAGCTCATGTATGAGACAATGCAGGAATTTTCAATGTTTAGTTTATGAGAACTGTGACCTAACCAGTGGATTAATCCATTTGATGAGTTAATAATGTGAATAGATTAATGGGTGGTAACTGTAGGCACATATGACACAGATGGAAGAAGTATAGATCACTGGGGGTGCATATTTGGAGATTATATTTTCCCTAGATCTTCGGATTTAAACACTTTCTGCTTTTTGGCTGTCATGAACCGAGCAGATTTCTTCTGTCAGACTTTCTGCCTTGATGTTTTGCCCCACCTTGAGCCCAGAGCCAACCATGAAATGTACCTCTGAAACTGAGAGAGAAAATAAAATACTTCCCTTCTAAGTTGTTCTTGTCAGGTATTTTGGTAATAATGATGAAATGTTGACTAACACACCTCCAAATATGACTTAAGTATTCTACCAAAAAATATCCTCCAGTCATCCCATCCCATCTCTTTGATTTCTTCTTCCTTATGCCATCTCAGCATGCCTGCTACCAAAAAGTTAGCAAGCTACTTTATAAATATTCGTGTCCCTTTTGGAAGATGGTCTCATTTGGACTGTGTGAGAGTCCATTTTTTATTGCTGTAAAAATATCAGAGAAAAACAACTTAGAGGAAAGATTTATTTTGGCTCATGGTTTCAGAAGTTTCAGTGCATGGTCAGCTGGATCCAAGGCAGAAACATCATGGCAGAATGGCATGATGGAGGACGGCTGCTCAACTCACGGGATCCAGGAATGAGGGTGTGTGAGAAGGGACTAGATAAACCCTTCCAGTGCACATCCCCAGTGATCTCCTCCCTCCAATCAGATCCTACCACCTACAGTTTCCATTGCCTCTCAGTGGTCCATTAAGTTTGAAATGGATTAATCCACCAATGAGGTCTAAGCCCTTGTGATCCAGTCACTTCACAAAAGCCCCGCCTCTGAACATTGCTGCATCAGGGGGACAAAGTACTGAACACTTGAGTCTTTAGGGAACATTTTATTTCCAAACTATAACAGACTATAAACCCACTGACAAAATGAAGAAACTGTCCCGGGCTGGGATTGTAGATCAGTGGTGGAGCACTTGCCTAACATGTGTGTGGCACTGGGTTCAATCATCAGCACCATATAAAAAATAAATAAATAAAATAAAGGTATTGTGTCCTTTAAAAAGAAAGAAAGAAACTGTGCTCTATTCTGTACCATTGGTCCTCATGTCTGTTTTGGTGCCATACCATGATGTCTTTGTTCCTATAACTCTGTAGTACAATTTAAGTCTGGTATTATGATTTCTCCTTCTTAGCTTTTTTCGCTAATAATTGCTTTGGCTATTCTGAGCCTCTTATTTTTCCAAATGAATTTCACGACTCCTTTTCTATTTCTATGAAGAGTGTCATTGGAATTTGAATTGGAATTGCATTAAATCTGTATAGCATTTTTGGTAGTATGGTCATTTTGATAATATTATATCTGCCTATCCAAGAACATAGGAGGTCTTTCCATCTTCTAATGTCTTACTTATTTTAGAATCACAGAATTTTTAAATGAAAGATTTTTTTTTCATTTTAAATGATTTAAGATATAATTATTCACTTTACCAGGCAATATATGAGTATCAATCAGATACAACTTAATAATAATCAGTTTCCCAAACAGAATTTCAGTTGACTGATTTGTAGGATTAAAGTTACTTTAAAATGTATATAGAGGAATATAGTCACATACAATTAAGAATGTCTTTAAAAAGAAGTACATGACTTGCCATCTATTAAGACATACATGATATTAAAAATCATATTGGATTGGCACAAAACAAACTGATGAATGGAACAGAATAGAGAATTCATTTAATGTTTGGAAAGAACATGAGGAAACTTTCCAAGGTAATGGCTGTGCTCTAGATCTTGATGGGAGTATAAATAACACAGGGGTATGTATTTACAGCAACTTCTAAACGATATATTTAAGATTTATACAGAGTATTATATTCGAATTTTATCTGAAAAGAAAGGAATTATAAATTTTTAAAATGAGTAATATAGCACCACAAATCAATTTTGTCAGAGGAAAAAGAATGGTCAACTAGAAAATTTTGTACCACTAATATAGATATGAAATATCAACACTCAGTTATTATTTGATTTTCTTAAATAATTGCAATTTATGGGGACATATTCTCAAGATCAATTGCTTTTTAGCAGCCACTTAACAAAATTCAAGCTCTCTACCATAAGAAATGTTTGTAAGATGACCAATGACAGGCAAATAACTTTGACTTTAATTTTTAAATGTATAGAAAGTCAATTTCAAGGTACGCAATTGTCTACTAAAAGGAAAAGAAAATCACAGGGAATATTTTCAAATGAAAATATAAAAAGCACAAAGAAGAAAAGAGACACAAGGTGTAAAAATTCTGGGGGTGGAGAGAAGGCGTGTAAAATGAAGAAGAAATCACCTAAAATAGAAGCTAAGGGAAGCCGTAAAATAAAATGATTCTCAGCAAAGCAGAAGAATGCAATAATTACCTTTAGAGAATTGAAGCTTGAAGGAAATAATGTAAACATTCAAGATGAAAAGGCAGGAGGAGGAAGGAATTCTAAATTCAGAGACTTTATCTTTTAAATCTGAGCTGAACAGTTATAACATTTAAAAAATCTCTTATTACATTTTAGATGACTAATAATAATACTACTTTTGATTTATTGAACTTCTTTGTGCCAGTAAATTCAAAGTGGTCTGAAAATCTCTTGTGACAGATATTATTTCTTTTCAATAGATGGAGAAATTGAGGTATGTGAGCTTAAGTGAGTCATTCATTGTCACAGTGGTAATGCTGGGCGTGAAATTCAAAGTCCTCTGCTGTCCAGTGCAGGGACTGTTTTCTGTCTCAAGATAAGTGAGCCATAATTAACTAACTTACCACAGGAATAAAATAGATTCTTAAGAAAAAATCATGAAAAACATACATTACTTAAGATTCATGTTCATCTTATATCACTAACAAAATAATTTAAAAAGTACCATAAAAAATAACTTGTTATTTAAATAAGACCAGTGTAGTTATGGCAAAATTTCAGCAGCAATCAGCAAAGTAGGAGATAAGGGTTAGCCCTAATATTTTAAATTTATTGATTCTTCCCTTATTACTGAGTTATTAGTGATTTCAAAAATGTTTTAAAAGCAACAACTTTCCCAAACTCAACTTCATGTATATCTTATCCCTTTCTAATATCAATACATCTTATTTGATGTCTAAGCACTTATAAAAAGAGAGTAGTTACCAATTAAACACAAGCATGATTTTGTTTAAACACATGCCTAAACTGACACCATGGGAATAATCTACTGATTTTCTAAGTGTTGATGGAATATAATGCTCATATATTTTAAAGTGAGGCATCCAACCAGTTTTTCAATCATATACTGAATACAAATCTGTGATCATTTATTGATTACAAAGACTACTAATAAATATTATTTACCTGGATCTGAAATAAACAGTAAATAGTGACATTTAAAACTACCTCGGAAGGGGACCAAGGGAAGTGGGGAGAGAAGAGAAGGCAAGAGTGGACAGAGGAGAAGGTGGACATGATCATGCTATATACATGTATGTAAATGTAGCATTAATTTGTACAATTAATATGTTAATAATTAAAATAAAAATAATAATGTGAAATAATTTTTAAAAAGAAATAAAACTGCCCTCCCAACTAACCTGAACTGATATTATAAAAATTTATATAAAAATTGTATATTTGAGTTGAATTACATAACCAAAACAGATTAAGATGATGTGAATAGCCAGTCACTTTCCCATTTGGTTATCTTTTGCTTCTCAGAACTTTCTTGTTATCAAATTACCTGTATTTTCTCAATATCTAATTATGACCACCTTTTGTTCATTAAAAGTTTTGCTGGGATAGAATTGTGTTCTGAAAGTATAGGAAGAAACTAGTATTCTTGACAAAGCCCACAGAAGTCCTTGCCTATGTCACCCCACTGTGAATTGGTCCAAATAACACTTAATTACACTTCAAGACACTGCTCAAGGAGGCTGCCCCCAAACAGCAGTCTTTCCCTCCTAACTGCCACAGCACGCTATCTGGGCCTGCACCAGTCTTCCTGCAGGCAAGGTACTAGCTTATTGTTCTTGATATGCTATATTTAGTATCACTTCTATAGCAAAAATTCGTCAGGGCCCTCCTTCCCCTCCTTTCTTCTGAATAAGTACAAACTTGGAGCACATCATTAAAAATTCTCCAAAGTCTGAATTTGATGTAATGTTCCAGTACTTTTATGTACCAGCCACATTGTTCTATTTTGCTGTTTATTAAATACATCTCTTCTTTCCCCCCTTTGCTTTCAAGGCTATCTCCTAGTCCTTTAAATGTTACCCTCTCTGTGTAGCATACCTGGATTACCCCATTCATTTCCCCACCTTTACCATGTCCTCTGCCTCAGCTGTCTCTCTGTCAGTTATGTAGAAACACTGTACCACTTTTACTAAACGTGTCATATGCTACTCTATGGTCATTTGTGTGCAAGACTGAGTTTCTCATCCTGAACGGAGCTTTCTGAGGGCAGGTCTCTATCTTGGACAGAGACTGGTGTTTTAGTGAGTGCTCAATACATAATTGTTAAATGAATGGACAAGTACAGAAGAAGAAAAACCATTTTAGGTATTGTATAAAATTGTGAAATTAGTGAAATAAATAACAATAAAAGCTGCACAAGTAATTTACATGAACTTGTAGCTATAACTAGGTATTGAAATGATTATTGACTTTCCCCAAAAGAAGAAAAAGACATATTGGAGGATTTACTCAAACTGAATTTTGAATGACACATAATCATTCAAAAAAAAAAAAAAAAGAGCTCATGTACATGCACTTACACAACCACACTGTTCGTGAACCTTTCTATGCCTCTTTGTCTAAGTTGGTTTGTCAGAAAGAAAAATAAGAAACAGAAGAAGTTTGCTAGAATTCAACATTTTGCTTGGTTTGACTTTGTAGCCATGTTGACACTACTTTTTTTTTAATTTCCTCATTTGTATTGGTGCATTATAGTTGTACATATTGATGAGATTTATTACATATTAGAATATGCACACAATATAACAATATAATCTGGCCAGTATCACTTCCCAGCACTTCCCCTTTCCTCTTGCTTCCCACTTTTTGGTCCCTTTCCTCTACTGATCTTCCTTTGATATTTAGGAGATCTACCCCAAACTTCGTTTTCTTTTTTTCCTCTCTAGCTTCTGCATATGAGAAAAAAACGTATGACACTTGAACTTCTGAGCTTGGCTTATTTCACTTAACATAATGATCTTCAGTTCCATCCATTTTCCTGCAAATGACATAATTTTGTTTTTCTTTATAGCTGAATAAAACTTCATTGTGCATATATACCACATTTTCTTTATCCATTCATCCACTGATAGATACCTAGGCTGTTTCCATAACTTGGCTATTATGAATCGTGCTGCAGTAACCATGTACCACATGTATCAGTGTAGTAAGATGACTTTAATTCTTCAAGGACAATATGGAGAAGTTGTATAGCTAGGTTATGTGGTGGTTCCATGCCTAGTCTTTTGAGGAGTCTCCATTTACATTTCCTTTGCAGTTGTACTAATTTATAGTCACACCAACAGTATAAAAGTGTTCCATTTCTCTCCACGTCTTCTCCAGTATTTATTATTATTTGTATTCTTAATAACTGCCATTCTGACTGGTATGAAATGAAATCTCAGTGTAGTTTTGATTTGCTATTAATGATGTTGAACATTTCTTCATGTATTTGTTGGCCATAAGCATTTCTTCTCTTGACAAGTATCTGGTTAGTTCATTTGGCCATTTATTAATTAGGTTATTTGATTTTTTTGTTCTAAAGCTTTTTGAGCTCTTTATGTATTCAAGATATCAATCCTCTGTCAGATGAATTGCTAGCAAAGGTTTTCTCCCATTCTGTGGGTTCTTTCTTCACATTTCTTTTTATTTCCTTTGCTGTGCTTTTTAATTTGATGCTGTACCATTTATTAACTCTTGGCATTAACTGTTGTCCTATTGAGAAAGTTGTTGCTTGTGCATCAACTGGAATGTTCACCTTATGTTTTTTTTTCTAAGAGTTGCAAGTTTCTAGTCTAATTCCTAGGTCTTTAATCCATTTAAATTTTTTTTTAAATTTTTTATTTGTAGTTGGACACAATACCTTTATTTTATTTATTTATTTTTATGTGGTGCTGAGTATTGAACCCAGGGCCTTGCCTGTGCTAGACAAGTTCTCTATTGCTGAGCTACAACCCCAGCCCCTTTAATCCATTTTGAGTTGATTTGTGTTCAGGGTGAGAGATAAGAATCTGGTTTCATTCTTTACTTATGGATAACAAATTGTCCCAGCACCATTTATTAAAAAAGTCTGTCTTCTCTCCAATGTTATGTTTTTGGCACCTTTATCAAAGGTCAGATGATTGTATCAGTGTGGGTTTGTTTCTGAGACACTATTTTTGATCTACCCTTGTCCTAAACAACATGCTGATTTTTTGATTAGGGGGTTATAGTTTGTTATCAGTGTTATTTATATTTTAGAATATAAATATATTAAACACAAGAATACTGTCTATTTTATTCACTGATGTGCCTAAATAATCCAAGCGCCTAAAACAATGCCAGGCATAGAGTAAACATTTAATCATTATACTAGCTTAAAAGCAACAACTTCCCAAAACTCAACTTCATATATATCTTATTACACATGAACAAATAAATACTTCAAAAAACAGTTTTTCTAAAACATGCTCTCGATTTTTATATGTTATTCAGATTTTTATATGGCCTTCAATTTTTTATCTGGATTTCTTCCCATTTGAGAAATTTAGTCCAATTTATTTTATTAGATAGACCTGATAATGTCTCTAAACAAATATTAAGAAAAAGATGGAACTACCCATAGTGAACACAAGCTTTGAATACTGAAAGACCTTGTTACAAAGATAGCAATTGGACTTTCTTGAAAGATGACATGGTTTTAGGCTGTCATTGATGAAGAGAGCTATTGTGTGTGTGTGTGTGTGTGTGTGTGTGTGTGTGTACACACACACACCTTGCAAAAGGATTTAAATAAAGTTTATCTGCTGATTTAGATTTCTTTGTCTACTGCCCAGGTACAATAGGGGCTGAGAAAGTTATGAAGACTGAAGAGTCCATTAGGTAATGACTGGTAATGCCAACCATGATGGTATCACTTTTGATTCACTCCTCACAGCTCTTAGATAAAACAGCCCTGTAATCATAGGCTTAGCCTTAAACACAGCATATACAGCCATGACCAGAAAGAATAAACCAGAAGCTGGGGCTGAGGTGGGGGTTAGTCCATCCTGCAGTTCTCAAGGAAACTTTTTAAAATCAAAAACTACAAAGGTCACATATCAGCCAACACCAGAGAAAACCCACAGCAATTCAGAAAGCAAAGATGAAAACTATAATCAAATTCTGCTACCTGAGTGGCACATTGCCTAATGTACTGATAACAAAACAGAACCCTCTAATCAAGAAGTCAGCATGTTGTTTAGGACAAGGGTAGATCAAATGTAATGTCAACATGGCTGCAAAGTCAAACCAAGCAAAATATTGAGTTCTAACAACATTCTTCTGTTTCTTTCTGATAAACAGACTTATATGAAGTAGCATAGCAAGGTTCATGAACAGTGCATGTGTGCACACACATTTAATTATTTGGCATTTAAAATTCAAATTAGATAAATCCTTCAGTAAACCTTCACCGACTGCCACCCCTACCTCAGTCCTTGGCAATCATGTCCATGAACATAATACCCCCCAAAATCCATGAATGATTAAGTCTTGTTTATGTTGTGGTCTCTTCCTTCGGACTGTAGGCTCTCTGAAGGCAAGAGAATGTCCTACTTATCTTTGAATACCATAGTACCAGCTATTTAGTGGATGATTCATATGTTATAGAGGGAGTGACAGAAGTTTCTGAGCCAGACAACACTGAGTCAAAATCCTGGCTTCATGTGTAGAGGTCTGTCTGTGGCTTGGTGCTATGTCAGGTATTCAGGAAATTCACCACTCTGCCTTCTGCTGCTTCTTGTGGGTTATCCTGGGATCTGACTGCTGTAGCCCATGAGCCACTCCCACACATCCCTGTGCTCACCTCATTTCCAGATCCAGGCTTTCATTGTTTAGAATTGGAGTTGGCACAGCCTCTATTTTTATTAGCCTGACTGATCTAGAAAATAACCTATTTCTTTTTTCTGGGCTTCAGTGTCCTCATTTCTTAAATGAGAAAAATAATACCTATACCTTGATGGTCATCAAGAAGATGAAATGAGATAATGTATGTAAAGCCTGTACCACCAGTGATGGGTGAATAAATGATAGCTGTTAATTTAATCATGCCTACTAACACTACAACTATCTACACATATTACATGGATCAGTCTTTGGATTCTTATTTAAAGACTTACAGCTAGAAACACAACACACACCACTTTTTGCAGACACGTCAAAAAAAAAAAAGGGGGGGGTTGTGGCTCAGTGGTAGAGGACTTGCCTAGCACATGTGAGGCACTGAATTCGATCCTCAGTACCACATAAAAATAAATAAAATAAAGGTACGGTGTCCATCTATAACTAAAAATATATTTTTTTAAAAGTCTACAGTGTTATCTTGAAAACTGAAGACAATCAGCACTTTACTAGATTCTTAAAAGCAAGCAAGCAAGCATTCCTTCCAGAATCCTTATTTGTCAGATCTTATAGCTAATCATCATTTTATGAATAAAAATGTGCAACTAACTTAGCTGCTATATTTTTCTGCTGTTTAGAAAACAAGTGTAATTATTCTGAGGAACTGAGATACCTTATTTGTCAAATCAGGACTTTTAAGAAAATTACTGTGTATTCATACATGAGTTCTCTTATTTTCATGTTAAAATTCCAAGTGCCTAAGGAACGATGTACTAAAATAAGACTTTTTCCTCTTAAAAATATATTTAGAATCCCAAGAAAATTATTATATTAAGGACAACTTTTCTCTGAACATCTTAATAAAAAAAAACTGTGAAATGTCAGTTTCCCATTCACTGATATTTTAGAAATGTGTGCTAAATTTAAACAGTTAGTAGTCATCACTAAATGATGATTTTAAAAAATTATTTTCACTAGTGGTACCAAGCTATGTCATGATGCTAAACAGTTACTCCTCCTATCATGGTCCTCCTGGGGTCCTGCTCTGGAATCTATCAGACATCCTTCAGATGGTCTTGGGGCACTTGAGCAGTGCTGAGCCTCTCTAGTGACTCAAAAGCTCATAGTCTCATCAGCCTTAACCAAGACCACAAGGAGGAAGATATCAAAGCACAAGGCACATTATTCCTTCTGTTCCCTTGTAAAGTTACCTTCTGAGGAACATGGTTAAAGGATATTGGGTCACCCTATCCCCACTTTCTCTCAGAATTTCTGAAAGGAAATGCCTAGAATGATGGAAATTGAGGGAACTCTAGCTAAAAGCAGGAAACAAAGCCTTTAGGTAGACAGCTTTCTCTCATTGAAGCCTACAATAGCCCACCAAGCCCTTAAATGTCTACCATTTTAGTGATTCAGAATATTAAACCCAATTTTTTTTCCATTTCTGATTTGCTTTAACTTCCCAATTAAATGTAAAAGTGTTTAAAAGTCATTGGGACTATTTTAAGGGAAAAATATAAGATATAAATAATCTTAGGTTAAATTTTGAGCAGAGAGTCAATTGACTTACAAGATAATTGCAAAGAGGGGAACAGAGACTGAATAAAACAGACACTGGAAGAAAATTCTGAGGCAGAGAAATCAGAGGTCAATTTGCCTAATTTGAAAAGACATATTTATCTACAGCTCTAATTGAAAGTCTCTTTGGGTAGAGATTTAGCACCTATTTGGGTAGAAATTTAGCATAAAACCTGGGATGCTTTTCTATTTTCCTTTTGGTTTATCTGTCCATAAACAAACACACATACGTTTGAAATGTGAAAAAAAAGGCTTAAATTCTGTAGCAGATTTTGTAAAAATAATGGAAACTTTTGTAAACACAGTTTTAAACACCCTGTTTGCCAAGTCAAATGATGTGCCAATTCTGTGAAAGCAGCTGCAGGCTCTGTGCTTGTCAAGACTTGTGGAACCTGGACTGTTCTGACAGTCACCAGAGATTTTTAAAATATAAGAGTAATTACAATTCTATCAGCCAATTCTTAAAATTACATTTAGGCCTCTGCACTAGAACCTTACCCCAAAAGTGAACAGCTTTGGATCTCAGGTCATTCCCATTGTGACAGCCCCTGACTATGGGTGTTGTGTGCTGATCCATCCCCCTTTCTTGACCTTCTGATACTAGAGCACTCATGCTTTTGTGGACTTAAAGCCCACACCCTTGTTCCTCTACTTTTACCTTTCTATGTAAGATTATGCTGGTAAAAGTATTGGCCAAGAAAAGGATTTTCTCACAACAGTTATTTTCTATAACTTTCTTTTCAGATGATGTATTCAGTGTTTACCCAAACACAAAAACAAAACAAAATAAAATGAAACAAGACAGAAATCTGAAGAAGATTTACTTATTTCTTAGATAATTCCAATAATGTAAACATACTTCTAGGAAAAAAATAACAAGAATGACCACTGTTCTGAAGAGAGGAAGAATGATTGCTTTTGAAATTTGGTAGGTGGTCTTCACACAAATGAATGAATAAAATAATCAAAGCAATCTAATCATTTGTTGAAAAATATTTAAAAGAACAGTTATATTTGTTATTGGTTCACAGAGTCTTGGAACTCAATACTATACAGTGAGACAAAAGCCACTATTGTATTAGACTTTTGTCATTTATTGAAAAGAAACAAAACAACAACATCGGCAAAAACAAACAAATCAATGGCTGATAGGAAAGGAAAATGGGAACCACCTGCCTTAGGATCAGGTAGTAAGTAGGTGCATTGTTGATAGAGAATTTTAATACAGTAATAACACCTTAATAATACCCACAAAAAGTTGGCCTATATTTTACTATTACCATACACTTGCAATTCTAAACAATATAGGAAATAAAATATTACTCCCTAAAAATTTCTTTTTTGGTTTAAATTACAAATAATGCTGCTGTGGTGACAGCTGAATTTTAATAAGATAAATATAAGCTTCAAATTAGCACATTTTTGTTAGTTATTCTTTAATAAACAAGTTACATTATATGGAAGTCAATTCCCAAGAACTTAATATTATATGCCAGTCCAGGCAAATGGAAACTTAACTGTATGTGATCGTTCATCACTATGTTCCAGCCTTCAAATTGTTCCAGCTCGCTTCAAGGGCACTTGGTATCTCCAACTCCTGTATTATGACATAATGCTATGTTTAAATAGTAAATTCTAAATAACCAGTGGTAGCAGAGCATGGTAAAGAGAAAGAAACAGAACTTTGATTTACACTTCAATCTCATCTTCTAGATGGACTTTAAGTTTTCATTGGTGTTTGAATATTTAAAATTTAAAGTTCTTTTCTTCCAAAAAATATATCAATTAGCTAAAAATTATTAATTGCATTTTTTCCTTATCTGGTGTTAAAATATTTATTTTGTTGTCTAGAGTTTTTATTGACATGGTGATATATGCTAAGCTCAATAAAAATTTCAATATAAATATCCTCCTAAGACAACATCATTAACTATCATTATTAGTTTTACTCTATGATTATTGATGAAAATAATTTTGTTGTAAAGAATGGCAGGTGTTAAAATGATCTGCTCCAGATGTTAAACGTGCTTTGTATGCCACTGAATTACATAGAAGCTTTATATGCATTTTAATGATGTCATTAATTTCTACTTTTTATATATTATAAAAATGCACAACTCAGATGACTGGTAGAATTGCTGATCTATTCAAGTTGCCATCAGCTTAGAAATAGTCAAGATTAAGAATGCCTACAACTTGAGGGTGATGCTTATTTATGTGGGACTTAAACACTGCTCATTTTGAAATAGAACTAATTTGAACAACCATAAGGAATATTTGTAATTTATTTTTGAAATTCCAGTTACTTGTTTGCTTTGCTTTGCTACTTTTTCTTTCTTACTCTTTTTTCTCTCCTTTCTAACACCTCATTCATGTAGATTCCTGTTTCTTGTACATTAGCAGAAAGTTAGGAGGGCTTTGATTCTCCACAGATGCCAAAATCAGATTCCTCTGAGTATTTTAGTTTTTGAGCTGATGATCTGCTTCTTTCCAAAAAGTATCAGCAATGGAATTCCTCTATGTTCATTTTGTATTTGAGCAGCTGGAGAATCAGCTGGCAAGATAGTTAGCTGTGAAGACATAAAAATGTCTCACCATTGAGAAATATTTAGTATGCAAGCTTTTCTCTTTTATCAACTGTGAGGGTAGGTGACAGGGTACTGTAACCCCCAAACCACACTGTGTGGGTTAGCAGCATGTAGGTAACTTTGTTGCATAAATTCATGACTTCTCTTTAGCACACTGCACAGCACTTACAATGTAAAAGCTTTATTTATTTATTTTTCTATCCAGTTTTAAGTGCACTTCCATTTATTTCCCTAGGTAACATGTCAAATTTCATGCAAACTAAACTATAAATTTCCTAAGGATTGGACACAGGCTGGAACTGTAGATTTGATCTTACATTGTAACGTTGAAACATGTAAATCCTTCCTGGTTTCAGGTTTATATATAGCACTACTCAAATTCAAAACTATTACATTGTTAAGGTGAATTTCCATCTTCTTAATTTGGAATTATTAAAATGAATTTTATTTTAACACTTAAAAGTTTAATACTGTGGGGAGGGGGGAGGGTGGATGATGGGAAAGGCAGCGGAGCACAACAGACACTAGTATGGCAATTTGTAAATCAATGGATGTGTAACTGATGTGAATCTGCAATCTGTGTATGGGGTGAAGGTGGGAGTTCATAACCCACTAGAATCAAAGTGTGGAATATGATATGTCAAGAAATTTGTAATGTTTTGAACAACCCACAATAAAAAATTAAAAAAAAAAAAAAAAAAAAAAAAGTTTAATACTGAAGGCAGAGATATGGTGGTAATAATAATTGTAAAAGTTTAAATGACTTTTGAGAGCTTAAGTAAAAGGAGATAATCCATATTTGAAATGTATTAGAATAAGAAGCAGAGTGTCAACATTCATGAGTTCCTTTGTTAGAGCCATTAACACTTGTCTTGACAAAAATTACTAAATATTTGTATCTGTTTTTTATCTGGAAAATAAAGGCATATACCTAAAACATGGGCTTTCTTTGATTTTGTTTTGTGAACAATTGATTAAGCCAAATTTATTTAGAAACACACAACTATGGACAAAATCTGTTGTGAATATATATATATATATATATATATATATATATATATATATATATATATATATATTCAGATAATTACACACACACACATATGCACACAAAATTCCCCTGAGCCTGCTTATAAAACTTTTCAATGAGTAATCATATTGCATAAAATTTAAGTGATACATTGTTATCATGATATAGTTACATATCTCACCTAATAATATATTTCAACCAGTTTACATATATTAGGATCTTAAGAATATTTAATATATATATTTAAGTGTTAAGGGTTACTTTAAGTGTTAAGATAAAAAATAATGCCTAAGGTTGTATAATCTCTTTCTTTATTTGCAAAGGTTAAAATTTAATTTCTTTGTAAGTTATATAATTTAGATCATGTTAGAGGGATGCAAAAATACAGTATTCATTTTTAGACTATAAGGCATTTCCAAAAAGATGATAAATAGCTCCAAAATTATACATATTTTAAAACTATACTTTGATTTTAGTCAATTATCCCATCACAAATATGCATTGATGTATTTGAAATAAATGTACTGAATACCAAAAAAATTAAAATATTAAATTAGGCTTTTGGAAAGTTTTCAATATGAAATGGTAATTGACATGTTTTGGTTATATTTTGAAGATAATGAACTCAAACATATACTATTTAGCAAACAAAATAGTACGCTAAGTATACTATTTGCAATAGGAAACAGTAATCGTTTATCAATTAAATTTTATATAAAATCTTTCAATCTGAAAAGAATAGCAACATCTGCTTGCATTTGCCTGTATAAAGGATGAAGCTCAAAGGCCATGGGTAAGAAAGTTAGGACCATGTATTTCACACAAACTTTTGAATTTGCTAAGTAATCTCCAAGACTTTAGCTAAAGTAACAACTTTTCTGTTACAGGTGGGCAAAATAAAAATTGTCAGGAAGCTGGTTTTCAAAGGACAGGATAAGGAAAGGAGAGGAGTACAGGGGAATAAAAAAGGAGGGCATCAATACTCTGCTCTGATGGACTGAGTCAGTGCAATTTGTTGCCAAGGAGTGAGTGCATGGGAAGTGCCTAAGAAACGCCTTTGAATGATCTAACACTGAATTACAGAGTTCTTCTGGCTATCTTTATCACTAACAATTTTGTACAAGCCTATTTCACTTTTGAGCCACTCCCTTAGGAATGTGAGATAGAGTCAATGCTACTTTGTACTAAATTTTCAGTAAGCGAGGAAAAAAATTTAGTTAGAAAAAAAGAGAATGCAAATTCTATATAGACATTAGTGGTAACTGTTAATAGTGTTTTATCCCTAGCTTCATAGCCTCAACTTAGAGTCAGACATTTGATGTTTTTTCCCCTAAACAATGTTGACTGCTTAGTTGGAAAGAAAGGATTATAAAACATCTAAACTATTCCCAGCCCTAAGAGATGTTATGCATATATTATGTATATCCATAGACTCAGACTATTTACTTATCCAACAAACTTTTCTCATACCTGTTACCCAAGATGGCATTCTTGGTACTATGATAGATACACTATGTGAACTATGATTTTGCTCTTGAGGGGTTTATAATATATCTGAGGAGATAAAACATATACATGTGTGCTCTAAACAGAAGGCATTATGAAGTACAGAACACACTTGTGGGACTGAGTGCTTAAAGCATTCAGAGAAGGGAATGATTTCTTCCTGCAGAAATTATAAAAATAAATTTCAAGAAAGGAGGGAGTATGTGAGAGGATGTTAAAGCGTATTTAGCTAAATATATGCAAAAATGACAAAGATTTTAGTGAAATAGCCAAATAAAATCAAACATAATGAAAACACATTATGAACCAATTATGCTGATTACATCTGTTTTCACAAGGAAAGACTAATATAGAACAGGGGCTTTAATTCTATCCCCCTAAAATGAGCATTAACATGAGCCGACCTCCTTTTATATCAGAATTATTAGGCCACTTCCCAAACTTTGTAATATGAGTGACATTTGGAAGCCATAATTCTGAAAACTGTACTCACAGAATGCAATTGTAACTGTAAGGCATAAAGGGTGATTGCTCATTTTATCTTATTAGAAGCTTCCCTGGCCTCCATAGCAGTGCTCATCTGGCCCCCACTTCACACTGGAGTCATGCAGATTGGAGTTGACTCTCAATTATACCAAGTCTTTCTCCAAAGATGACAGTCCAAATACAGTAGAGATAAAATACATCAAGGTTTAAAATAGGCCCGTTCAGCCCCAGTGCCGCTTCATCATGAAATGATATAATTCACTGATGCCTCTGCCTAGCCTAACATATGTTCTATTCACAGCCCGCGTCACTCTTCATTTGTAATTATTTCCCTTTTTTTCCCTTACCCCATCTTGCAATACTTTGCTTGGTTGAAGACAAATACTGAGAGGCAAAGAGTATTATCGTATGATGACCTGTTCCAGGGTGTTAAACCCCTGTCAAGGTTTGATTTTAACATGGGGTATCGATGACAGTACATCAATTCAGGCATCATGTCCTGAATTAGACTATATTAATTATCACTTGAGTGCAATATGCATGAAAATGCTGTTTCATTGACTAAAAGGATCTGACTGAATAAAAATCCATTTCTCATCTGGTTGCTTATGGATAAAGACATTTTTTTCTCTTTGCCTTGGATTGTTCTTTATTAAATATGATTTTTATATGATTGTATGAATAAATTGTCTTATCCAACAACAGAACTGGATAGTTTTAAACAAAGAAAATTTAATGGGTTGTCTACTCTTGGCATGTCTCTAACAATGTATTTACAGTTAATAGTTTAGGCAGATTATTTATAACAATACTGCCAAAAAAACAAAGTCCTTATTTTCAGCTTTTATGTGAAAAAGATATTTTAAAATTGTTGCCTCCTTCATTTAAAGGAAATGAGAGTTATAACTTACAATTATTTACAGATGATGGGGCAGCAACAAGCTCTGTCAGGTAACAAATACATTTAAAAAGTAAGACTAATATTAT